TATGCAAGCTTATTGCTCAGGATTGTGTACTAGACGGCATTTTATCGCTTAAGCGCTCATTCACTGCGGCGAATAAATTTAAAAGAACCACAGTCCTTTATTAAAAGGAAATCAGACTGATTATACAAATATACAAAAAATGAAATAAGTGAGGAATTTTCGCAGCGACAGAAAAGCAAATTCCATTTCTTATTTCTTACATTTCTCAAGGACACTTTTTAATGGAGAACTTTTCTGCAGAAACGTTTTTCAGCAATGTATTCACACTTTTCAGCTCAAAACTACAAAAAAAAGTAACGGTCCGTAACGAAGAAAGAGCGAGTGCAATAGCCGGACAGCTAGCTAACAGAACTGATGAAGTCAAATGAACTGTGCATACTTCCGTATATCGAAATGCTTCTTCGGCCGTGCATTCCGACTTACTGGTTGGATTTGAAAGCGCAAAGATAATTGGTCGCTCATTCAATTCAGCCATTTTCCGGATGATCTGCTCCGTAAATGCACCGCGAACTGTTGATGCACCAATCAATCCTGTTGGTCTCACCGTTTCTATTATCTGAATATGAAATAGGCATTATATCCAATGAAAGCATTAAACAATTTAAGCATGTCTTCATACAATATTACTTCAACAAAGCGCAAAATCGAATTAAAACCCAGGCTGGAACGCACCGGGCGGCCCCGTGCGATCATGCGTTTTTGCACCGGACTTAACAGCATCTAGCTCGATCGCAAGAACTGTTTTGTTCAAGCGCCTCAACAAGTGGGTATAACAATAAGCTCCCGCTGACGTGATAAAAGTCTCAGTATGTTGCTCTCGTTTGAGCGTATCCAATGATCAGGCCCATGATCTTTATAAGAAGAAAATCTATTGAAGTGCTAAAAAGACCTCAAGCAAATCCTTTATGTGCGGCACATCCTTGGCGTATTTTTGATGTTCCGGTTTCACCACCGGACTGTTCTTTGTGATTAGCCCTTTACTGTTGATTAGAAAAACACGCTGACGGGCCTGCTCCACAGTCAAGCCTTCAAATTGCATCTGCATCACGCACATATCAGCGATACCTGTTGCCGCCTGCAAATTATACACTACTGAATTGTAAGGAAGCATTTATTATGACTTTTCCTATCACAAACCACTCCAAA